CCGCGAACGTTCGACTGCAGCTTTCTGTTGGACGGGTCCAGAGGCCCAAGTCTTTGAATCCCATTCGCGAGAATTCCGAAGTGCCCCACAGGGGTCATGTAGATTGCACATGACGAACAGAAAATTTTTTAATAATCCGTGGTATACATCGTCGAAGTCAACTAGCTGGTCCCTTCGAGTGAACAAGAGTGCCCCCGCATTCTTCAAACAAATGTAAACTAAACACACACGAAAAAAAAAAAAAACAGATTCGAAGAGATTGTTTTTTTTTGTTTTTTTTAGTCTTCGGGAGGGAAGGGGGGAAGGGGTGTGCCTCCCCCCCCCCCCCCCCCCCCCTTACGATTTCCGCTGCTCGGCACTTACTGGATGGGGACCGCCTGTTCCGCATGAATCTGCGTTATTAGATTTTTCTTGGCCTGGCGTTTCTGACCTGTACCTTCAAAATCGCGACTCACGTTGTTTTGTTATGTAGCGTTTTGTGACCCAGGGTAGACTTGCGCACACAGTATAGTGTATCGGCATGTCACCGGGTACACAGACTGCCGAACGCTTCTAGAACTCGCTGAACCAGTAATGGCGGATTTTTTTCATGTTATTTCTGCCGTCGCCATGCGCACTTTGTTACAGCAACAAGTGCTCAATGAGTAACCATAAAGATCTCACTACAAACGAATCTCAAGATTTCCGCTCTTGCATTTTAAAATAAAAGTTAGACTAAAAGGTTGTCCGCGTTCTTATCCACCGACCCGTAAAATTCAGAGAACAAGTCTATTTTCAGATGCCTGGAACTGGATCCTGCTATGGCTGTTCGTCTCTGAAGCGCCATCGCTTGATAACGATGACGACTCACGCCAATTATGATCCACGGTGTCAAGCTGCAGGCTCATGTCTACTGCCTACGTTGGGCTCTGCTTCTTAGTGCAATAATTATGAAACTCACTTAATTCTGATGACATAAAATGTAATGTAATCTCGCCCTCTCTTCACCTGCTGGGAAAATGTTCCGGTGAAGATTCATGGTTTTGCGCTAGGCATTTTAACAATAAGATAGGAATATGTAAAATTTCATCTCCCAATTGTATTAAATTTGCAAACCGCAACGTAATGCAACTAGTACTCCTTTTAAGTTTTAACTTTTAATGTTCGTTTTCTAAGGAGCTAGATGAGCTCAATAACCTTTATGAAATTATTTTAACCAGTTAAATTGTTTCAAATATTTCTCATAACTTAATTGATCTGTGCCATACTCGTGCCTTGTAAGTTATTGTTGTTTGTAGATATGTTTTTTAAACACGTAAGCCTTGGCTAATAAAAAGCAGGCACTGCGTATGAAATATATTAGTACCAAATATGTAGTTAAAAGGAGTCATTGAAAGACCATGCTTAACCTCAACCGCTTTTAACTCAGATAGGAATTAGAGCGTTCTGGACACTTTTGTTGACCACATGAACAGACGGCTTTAGAACTTGAAGGCCTATTGTATTTAGACACGCGCGAGGGTGTAATACGCGTGCATGTGTGTATAATCCAGTGTGTCGAACCGAAAAAAATACGTTATCGGTTACGGTTCAGGTTCAGGTAAATTTATTTTGTTCCGGTTCAGTTCCGGTTCGATTAATTCGATCCGCGAACCGGTTCGCGAACCGGTTCGGGGCGCTGAACCGGTTCGCGAACCGGTTCTAAAATTATAAATGACAAATTGCAACATCAAAATACATTACAAATAAAACATCTGAAATCAGCACATACGAAACGGGATACATCGTAGTGTAAGGCTCAGGGATTTCTACCAGGAATGGTTTCTTTATGTGCACTCAAAGGTTACCTCACCGACGTTTACGCATTCGGACTTCATCTAATTGGGTCCGACGCAGTAGCTGTAAAATCCGCGACCTTACAAACCCACTTACAAGTAGAACTCGCTAACTATCCCGCCACCTCGGCGTGTAAGCAATTGAAGGAAGAGTGGGGAGAAAATACAGCTTTCTTTATTTGAACTAGCCTTCGGTAACTCAAATTAGACCCTTAAAGAAGTTTTCATTGAACAAGATACGGAATATGAAAAACACTTCACCGAACACAACACCAGAAGGACGTAATAGGATAAATATTAAAATAGAAGAGTTCGCTGTCTCACATATATGTTAGCTTCTAAGTGCCTATACGAAACCGGATGCATTATTATCAAGCTCCACAGCCTTTTCTTTTCTCATTCCGATAGAAGCAAGCTTCAAGGACTCGCGCGTTTAGAAACGTGTTATGAAATGAACACACAGCAGCATTTAGGATTTACGAGATTGTAAAAAAATAAAATCCCGGGACGCGATTTTCTTTTTTTTTTGCACAGCCTTCTAATTCTTATTCTTCCGTGCAAGCCGCGACCAGCGCAATACTAGTTCCTATGTCAAGATTCATGGATGCAGCGTTTATATTCCTAAGACTGAGTGGAGAAGAAAAATATGTAAGCGAGGTGTGTGTCAGTTGACGGCACTTAAAAAACAAATGGCATTGATAGCACATTCATTGTCAACAGCGCGTGGCCGAACCGTTTTGACATGAGCCGGTAACCGTTATTTTTTTTCCGGTTCAGTTCCGGTTCGGGTTCATCGCGATAACAATATAACGGTTCGGGTTCGGGTTCAGTTCCGGAAAAAATACCGGTTCGGTTTCGGTTCGGTTCGGTTCCGGTTCGACACCTTGGTATAATCGCAACGTTTTTCTTGTTTACTATTCTATTTTTTGTTATCTAAAATGACCACATTCACTGTCCAGTGACCTGATTACCTGGCCTGCTATATTTGGGCACACAGCATTTCAGTGAATTTCGCTCGTTAGTTGTTTTCAGTTATAATTTTTCAGAACACTGGACAATAAAAATTATGTTTTCGGTGTCCAGGATTTTAGTGTTGTTGATGTCCACCAGTAAAATGGCATTACTGTTTTGGTTACAAAATAAACATACCCTGCATGCGTGAGTGTTGTACGGTTGTATTTATTTCTGCAAACATTTATTTTTACAAGCTGACTAATTTTCCCTTGACGATCGTAGTAAGCACGGCAAAACATAAAAGGACCATGGAGCTTGCTTCTCGTGACGAGGAGCCTGAGAGTCGTGCCTGGAATAGAAAAAAAAAATAATTAGACAAAATTTATTATAAATGAATTATTAGTGAATAATGAATAAATCCTAATTTAAACAACCTATAATCGCAAACGTAGCTCTACATAAAGAAGTTCCCTCCACCAAATCAGCGGATCTGCTTCCTTGGAGGCTTTGTACCATGCAAATGCAAAAACAACAACGGACGTGTTAGGCACTGTGTAACCATTGGGGAGATTGAATTCTCCTGTTAAAACTATTGCCTGCTATTCACATTTTTTTACTTCAGAGGGTGTAAACGTCTAGATGACCATGCCAAGAGGCTAAGGAGCTAAAGTTTGTGGTACTAATTGCGCAAAACCCCTTAAAAAAAAAAAGGAAGCAAACATTGTAACTAAAGTTTAATAAAAAAAAAAATGAAGGACAGTGGCGTGTATTTGTTCTGTTGTGGCAAACACTAAGGGCTCCACCGAGAAGGCTGGGAACAAGGTAAAGCCACGAGGATCGCGACCAGGACGCAGGGCGCCTGGACACCAACTACCCTGAGCGGGACGCTGCTTAGGAGAAACATTAGTTTTTGCCAGTTCTGTGATTATGTTGGCGGCATGCCGCTTTTTTTTTTTTTACCTTTCTTTTTTTGTAGGAATTATATTTCGACTGCACTTCCCTGTCTTTCTCGCGTTTAACTGAGTCATTCGAAACGGGCAGTCTGCGAGAACGGCGCACATCGGCTGATTGATCTCGTATGTCAACACTGTGCGTTGATACTGTTTCCGAACGTCTCTCTAAGGATGTAATTTTCATAGGGTGGTGTTCAACAAAGCGAGTCAAGATGAGTAAATAAAATTAAGCATATATTTGTCTGGTGTCGCCGGCTCTGCGGAACGGCTTGTGATGACCAGATATAATTTCTTCTGTTCTTCCCTTTCTTTCTTTTTCTTTTTTTGGGGGTGGGGGGATGATTTAAGGGCAAGTTTACTGCCTTTATTCTTTCTTGGCAACTGATGTTTTCTTTTTAAACTTTTTTGTTTGTTTTAGCGCTGGAAATGCACTAGCGGCCACGATCCAAGCTAGGATGATGAACAAGTTGCAGCTAAACCCCCTGAATAAGATAGTGTGATCTCCATTCCTCTCCGACGCATACTTTTTTATTTCTTTTATTTTTGTTTCTCACAGCCACCATCAATATAATCGTTCCAGGATTGTAGGTGTCATTTCTACAAAATATTTAAATGTAAGACAGAGCGCAGGCGAGAGCTAAAAGAGATGCGAACGCATACATGCAGAATAAAAGCGGATTTTCTCAGTGAACTCTGGAGTTGATTTGATTAGTTGCAAGAACACACCCATAGAAACGTGCTGAAAGTCGTGACGTCCTTCTGTCGTTTATTGATTGAAGGCATCGGCCCGTACTCTCCGCTGTGCTCTGAAGGCGCAGGTGTTCCCCCTCTCTCCTCTTCCTCCTCCCTCTCCTGCGCTGCACACACTCGTGTATCTATATTACGGTCTCCTGCACTCACCCGCCATCATGATCGTCCCAGACTAGCAAGCTGCGCAGTTCAAAGGATGTTTTTTTTCTTTGTTTTTTTCGTACCGGAGAGAGTCACTTTGAATAGATTTTTTTTTTCTTTATGGAACCGCTTGTTGAACCGTCATTTTTTACGCATGACTGAACCGGAAATTAACCGGAACAAACAACAAAGCCACTGTACCAGAAGCAGAACGAACCGCCACATATACGGTTCGAAACCATGATGCGCCTCATGGGAACCTTGCCCCAGTTCACAAGAGCTTTGCTTTATTTTTTTTGTTTACGCCGGGTTATCACAATAAAAAAAAAAAAAAAAAAAAACATTTTGGAGATTGGGTGTCGCAGTACAAAAAATAAGTGACTCGTAATTTTATTAACAACGAATGCCGGAATTTATTTCGTAAGCCAAGTGTTTTGTTTTCTTTCGACAAGAATCTCTCTTTTTCTTTCAATGGAAGAGAGTTGAAACATGCTTGGCTAACTGGCTTCTAAAAAAAAAAAACATTAGTTCGCATCGTAGGCTATGAAACTAATTGGATTCTTAGAGACGTGCCTCGACGTGAATGGCAACCATTGGGACGTCCCAGGCACTGTTGACGAGGATCCTGCTTGTCTGTTCGGCCGAGACTCGAAACAATCTCCCCTTGCAGCCCTTTTGGGCCTTGCCACCAGTCACGACGTCGCAGTAAAGCCCCGGTGGCAGGTCCGTTTGGAATACGCTCTCCACAGGGCGGTCTTCGTTGTTGATGACGACGAAGGCGCGGCCTCGGCGGCCGAAGGCAATCGCGTGCCCACCGTTGTCCCACCAGTGCGTCACGGGGGCTTCGCCGGCTACCTTGCGAAGCTCAACGAGGTTGGAGACCTCGGGCCATCTGAAAAAGAGAGCGGCCTTTGTTTACCGTGGAAACTATACTCCCTTCAACTATAACATGGCAGACTGCCGAAGCTACGCCCCAGTGAGTGAATCGGAGTGCCAAATAGAGGCATCTCAGAGCGCACCGTCGAGGTGGGCTCCGGTCATAGAGGGATGTCACGTGCTTCACTGTGTCTCTTCGATTGGCTCGAAGGGGCTGGAGTATTCGCACTTTGTCAAGCTATGAGGAAAGGATGCGTTTGCTGCTTCAGGAAGGGCGACACCACCCTGCGTAAAAGACTTGATTTTGAGAGCTTTGGAACTACCACTTACACAAGTGCGAGGCGAAAACTGGCACGGTCAGGTGGTCGCAAAGTAAACACAGAAGCGGGGAGTAAGTGCGGGACGTTCAAGTGGCGAATGAGTTTGCATGAAAAATATCTTCGTTTATGATACGGTTCAAGTATGAGCGGAACTGGGTATACTTTGCAGTAGAATCTGTTTCTCACAAAATACAATGAGTTTTCAACTGCCTTGTTTTCTTGCATCATGCGTCGCTACATAAGTATCTGCTCTGCAATAAACATGTGCTTGGCGTTTTTTTTGTTTTTTTTTAAGAATGGCGACGTTTACAAAATGCATTGCTTATACCAGCAGCGCATTAACATTCACGGAAATACGATACATAACTGAGCTTGGTATATTTGTTTAGTATTGCGGCTACAAATAGCTCACGAGGAAGCGGACAGTTGACTATAGTCTGTTGCACGTTCAGAGTATTGGGGCAACCTCCTCCCACAAATTATTTCCACTTTAATTGAGCGAAAGCAGGAGACGAAGCGAGTGGAGAAAAGAAAAAGTGAAAGCCGCTTACAACTCCCTGTAACGCCGAATTGGAGCGCAGCTCTTGAGGAGGAGGGAAGGGCGCTGGGGGGGGGGGGGTTAGACTAACCAGGGGGGGGTCACGTGATCTTGGGGGGTCACGTGACCCCTAATGCCGATGATGTCATCACTGACCTCACTGATGACGTCATTAGTGACGTCACTGATGACTTCACCAGTGATGATGACGATGACGATGCGAATGTCGGTGACGTCATCAGTGACGTCGCTGACGACGTCATCAGTGATGATGACGATGACGATGCGGATGCCGGTGACGACATCAGTGACGTCACTGATGACGTCATCAGTGATGATGACGATGACGATGCGGATGTCGGTAACGTCACCGGCATCCACATCGTCATCGTCATCATCACTGATGACGTCACCGGCATCCACATCGTCATCGTCATCATCACTGATGACGTCACCGGCATCCGCATCGTCATCATCACTGATGACGTCACCGGCATCCACATCGTCATCGTCATCATCACTGATGACGTCACCGGCATCCACATCGTCATCGTCACTGATGACGTCATAATCATTGATGTCATCATCACTGATGACGTCACCGGCATCCACATCGTCATCGTCATCATCACTGATGACGTCACCGGCATCCGCATCGTCATCGTCATCACTGATGATGACATCAGTGATGATGACGATGACGATGTGGATGCCGGTGACGTCATCAGTGTCGATGGCGTCATCGGGGGGTCACGCGACATCGGCGGGGGTCACGTGACCTCGGGGGGTCACGTGACCTCGAGGAGGGGGTCACGTGACCTCAGGGGAGTCACGTGACTTCGGGGGGTCACGTGACCTCGGGGGGGTCACGTGCCTCCCCACGAAGTCACGTGACCCCGGTGGGGGGCTCGCGCGGTGCATTATGGGATATTTCCCATGATGCACCGCGCAGTTACGCCGACGGCGACGGCGACGGCGACGGCGACGGCGACGCCGCTCAAGCCGGAAACGGGCCCCTAAGAGCTGCGCTCTAAAACACCAATCATGGGGAGCAGAGAATATTGTAGGAGAGCAGCTCTTCACCCTTTTACGCTGCAACACATCATAAAGGTGGCATGCTACGCCATCAAGCGGTCATAGATCTCGCTCTACACATTCGAGCTTTGCACTAGTACACACTCTGATAGCCCATCCGCCTGGTAGCGGGCCGTCAGTTGATTATTCTTTTATTGCTTCCACTTAAGCATCAACCTAACCAGCGCAGCTCAAAAGCCCTGCGAGCCGTGGCCGTCATCTTCTCTGTGAGTTATAACGCTTGTCTCAAATATGAAATTATTAAGTAGTTTGCTTAACTTTTGGACACAACCAACTCGCTCCTCGACTTGATTTCTCATTTCTAGAGGCTCAAAAAACCAATAAAAAAGAGAGTCCTGAAGAATTGTGAAGCGAAAAAGCTCTAGTAAACCACAAATTCTAGTTTGTAAGCAGTTTCATGTAACCCGAGTGCTGTATCTGGATAATAACGCTAAGGCTTAAGTTACATGATATTACTTGCATAAATATGAAGGAAAATATTTATACAGGATAAACTACCAAAATTAATTCGACAAGTCGAATGAGGGAGTAGGATAAAGTTAACACGTGGCATGTGCACATCCAATCATAACAAGGTAACTTAAATAGAACACATTATCTAGGAACGTTTCGTAGAGTTTATGGTAAGCTGTTGGCCAGTTGAGCCAGAAAATAAACGCAAAACGTTCATAGTAAAAAATAGTAAACATGTTTCACATGAAACATTTCTGAAACAAAAACAGAAGTGCTTTTTTATTTATATTGCATTAACAAGAAGGCGATGGCCATTGTCCAACAAATAACCCTCCAGATGGGTAGAAATAGATGATTCAAATGACCAGGTAATCACCATGTAGAAAAGGGGACAGCAACAGAGTTCATAGACGCTATTCTTACGCTGCCCGAATCGGGCGGTTATCATTTGAGCCCTTCACGATTCGACTTTCGCATCTGAACTTTTTCGAAAAAATATTTCTCAATATTCCTTCCCAGTTGGTCGCGCCGCATTTGGCCGGTTGGCCGGCTCTCGTTTCATCGTTTGCAATTATTCACCATTGAGGTGTCGGTGTTGTGGCTTGTTCACCGCATATCTCCCTAAAAGGTTTGTCAGGTCCGCCCCCCCCCCTCCCCCCCTTTCCCCTAATCAGACCCGTGCTTTAGTCCCGCGGTTAGGAGAATGATTCCTAGAACACGTCCGTTCTTCACTTGAAACATCCAGCGAAGATCAGCACCCGCTTCTTGGATTGTCCGGAATTGGGTGCTAGCGATTGGCTTGGTGTCAAAGCGCTGCTTCGTATGTTCCTCTCGTCCCGGGCCGTGGCTGGGATGCATACGAGGCGGATTCTCTCTTCACTCTATACTCTTTCTGTTTTCTTCCTAAAATATACTGCAGCGGGATCTACGAGCCGTCGGAGCCAATCCAGTGCTGAGAGCGTAACACGTGCCATTCGGCCGTTGTGCAAACGGGACCAAATCTGAATTGGCTCAAATGCGAAAAATCTGGTTTTGAAATTTTCAGAAGGCTGGCACGAGAAGGTTCAAATGAGAATAGGTCGAAATTAGAAAGAACGACTATGCGAATGGGACGTTCTGAGATACACACGCCAGAATCTCCTCGCCCCAATATTTTTATAACAGTATATAAAACACCAAAAATAAAGGGAGAGAGAGAGAGAAGGAAGGAGTGAAGGGAGGATACGAAAATGGACTCATGAATGGCTGAATTTAGGTTATGCTGCAAAATATCATCAAGCCTTGAATAAAGAAAAAATAATTACACGAACAAGAAATTTTATTTTCTGTAGTTGTAATTGAGAAATCTATTTTCATAAAGTTCTTGAATGTATCTTCCATATACTTTCTCTGCAGATACTTATTTCAAAGCAAAATGCAAATATTGAATTTCTTTTTTCAAAGACATATAATTCAATTTTTTTATCTTAAATATTGCTCATGGCACCTCTAGAGTGCACCCGGTGCACTTGCCTGTGCTCGCAGACCCATCCGTTTCCGCAGGTACCGTTGAGCTCGCGGACAACCGGCTTGATGTTCCAATCCGAATCCGCCGGAGGACCCACCCAGTCGTTGGTGTCCTTTCCGTCCACGACGTTCCTCTGCCAGCGGTAGCTGCTCGTGATCCTCGGTAGACCGTAAGGCAAGGCCAGGAGCAAAGCCGTGGCCATCTTGTAGAGGCGGGCGTCGAAGAAGGTCAGCACCACGTCTCCTCCATAGCCGTGACCACGCTGGTTGTCGTGGTTGCTCAGGAAGGACAGTGCGTCACCCGAAGGCATCAGGTCCCAGCTCTTCGTGAAATTACGGAGGTCTTTCAGCTGTCTCCCGTCTTGCTTTCGGAACACGGCGCCTAGTTATTAGAGAGAATAGATAATCAAGGATATGGTAAAGTAGTGTACGCTCGCCCTTATTGCGTTTTTATGTCACTTTGCTCGAAAACTGGAAGCTAGTGTATGACCACTGAATTTGCCATAAAAGCTGGCAAGAAACTATAGTATCGAAGAAGATTATTAAGGAGAACCAATCCCTTTCCTCACATTTATGAAATGCCATCGTATAATTGGATGATCCTAGCATTGGGATAAATTTCAACATTTTCCTCCCTTTTTTACGGACTCTGACATTTCAGGGAAACTCTAAGTACAGACAGGCAAAAAGATAAAAGCGCCTTCACGTCAACAAGGTGTCTGAACTTAGATCATCAGGATTATTCAGTATGAACATGAAGCGGACGCCTCATGGTGCAACCAGTATAGAACAAAGAGTGACGATTTAATGAATCACGCTTAGTTGTGCTATTTATCTGAAAGAAAGGTAGCAGTGCTCCAAAGGAGGCGCGTTATGGCGTTATGATCGTACAATAAAAAGCCACCCGGTGAGCACACTGGCATTTCTCGGGCACGCGCGGCGCTTCGGAACGAAGATGAAACTGACATGTCTTTTTACTTCTCTTAACTTTTTCTATTATTAAACAGTTTTCTTTAAGCCGGCCTCATAACAGAATACTACAGCAGCATTACACTCACAAATCACGTCGGGCATTTAAGAAGCGAATGCACGCATTTGTATTTCTTTTTTTTTTTTGTGCTTCAAATGCTCTCTTGCAAATACATACAGGTTAAAACACAAGTGTACATTTTCGCAAGAGTTTAAAGGCGATAGAGAAGCAGCATTGATAACAATGACATTGTACGAAGCTACAGTACCCCAAAATCTATGCTGGTCTGGAGAACATTTTACAAGGCCCATCTGGCTGGGCATCTGCTTGTGCTGCCCGTTCACGTTTGGTTCACTACGAAATTGAAGAAGTAATTATTAATAGCAACCATTGAAATTGGTTTTATTTTCTGATATTTAGAAGATCGTATTCCATGATACTAGACATCGCGAATCAAAGACAGTAAGGCCAGGAAACGGAACTATAAAGTATTGGTGTCATGTCCTGCCATCAGTTGTGGTTTCGTGACTGATAAACAAATTTCTTCGGCGTTGATAAAGTTTTTTTTTTCTTTTTTGGAGAACTCACCCATGTTTACTCCGTAAAGAAACTCGGTAACTCGTCCGAAGCCGGTGTATTGGTCCCGGGTGACTGGCTCGCCATTGCGGACATCGATCACTTCCTGGTAGATGAGGGGCCTTGCTCCGGCGGGAAAGAACTCTGCGCTCAAGTTGTTCATCCTGCCGTAGATGACTTTCAGATCCTCGGGCCACATGTGCTTGGCGGCGTCGACGCGGAATCCGGCCACGCCCATGCCGATGAGCTTGTTCAGGAAGCGGACCTGCTCGTCTCGAACGTTCTCCCTGCTCTGGTCCAGGTCAATCAGACCGACCAGGCGGCAGTTGCGGACCTAGAACAGGATGTTGTCTTCCTCGTTCATCACCTTAAGTCCGACTGAGAAGTATAAAACTATTCACATTTAGGTAAACTTATCGACTGCTGGGGACTCTGAGGCGCCAGTGCGGCATTATACTCATCGATATTATAACCCCACATTCACGAGTAACAAACATTTGTCTTAGCAACCAAGTTTGTTTAACCTGACCTGGAAATAGATCGTAGTAAGCGTTTTTTTTTTTGTATGAACCGTATTTTTGCTTGCCACTATCCATTTATATATTTCGGTAGCTTCAGTGCCCGTAGGTATTAACGGTGCGATGCCAAGGACAAACCCAAATACAAAGACAAAAATAGTAACTTTATAATGCAAGCGGTCAAGCTTGAACGAATATGGTTCATTATTGCAATTTCAAATGGAACGTGTGTATTTACAGTAAATATTCGGAAAAGTGACATTATTCGGAAGATGTTCTGGGTACGAAAGAGTCGATGTAAGTAGTGGTACTACGGTGAGGAATTCTGATTCTGAATTGATGGTCAATGCGAGTGGACATGCACGTTGCACGAAGGATCTTATTTTTTATAGTAGGGTTAGTAATACATTTTATGAGAAAATGCATAGACAACGTATTTTTTGACGCAACTTAAAAGTAGGTAGAGGTACGTTAGCTTTCATAAAAGAAACTGTGACTAAATGATAATAGCTTTAAAAAATACACGCACCGCGATTTTGGACAGCCTAAGCAGCTTGACACGAGTGTTGTGTGAGTGAAATTCCAAATTGATTTAGCGTATTTCCGTTTTGAACGCAATGTAGTCGATGACCTATTAAAACATGCAGTACGTGGCCTACATTTTTCACGCCTTTCGGTTCGTATTTCGTTCTCCAGCGTTCTTATTGGCAAATGCCGCAAGTAGATTTGCTGCTGAGCTATTTTAAGGTCGGGGCTCGCTACGCCCGGCGTTTATTAAACTGTCGGTGATATGGGCTCCAAAATAAAAAGTATTTTAATAACGCAGGGCCTAACGAAAAAATTTCTCTTAACTATGAAAGCATAGCGTTGGCGTTAGCAATGATGCGACCAGTGCGACTTTAGGTCGACATTCCCGCATTGTTTACATTTGTTAGTCGTAATGTGTTACGCCATTCCATAACTGTGTTTAAAGTTCTCCAAAGAACAAGAAAATCAAATTTGTTAGTAACTTTGCGATAAGTAATACAATCGTCCGTGATCAAACTAAGAGAGGGCAAGAGGTTCCGAGGTAAAATATTTACATAAATAAGGAATGACAATGGTCCTACGATGGACCCTTGGGGGGCAGCTGAGGTGACAGTGCTGAGAGAAAATTTAGCTTTGTTATTAGTGGCAACCTGAGTCCAGTTCATTAGAAAACATTCCCTCCGGGGCAAAATATTGGGGTCGAGTTCAAGCTTTTCAAGCTGGAGAAATTAAACCTTGAGTAAAATCTTGTGAAGTTTTTTTTTCTCTTAAATATATATAAAAATAATAAATTTGGGATTCTCGGTCAAGATCGGAAAGTAAATCGTTAGTAAAAACACCAGTCCTTCGCTAACGACTTCATGATATATTTGAACTCGGTGTCCAATTCAAATACACCATAAAATGATTTGTTGATAGGGGTTAGTGTTGCTCAAAATAATCCCTTCATATACATAATTACATAAACGTGTGTTTGTGCTGGCTTAGTTTTGCGAAACGTACATTTGTGAGACTAGCATTTTATTTTTAACAATTAGCTGACCATCTCCCGCGACCAGGCAGTCCTGTGTGTCGGACCTGTCCTATAACAAAAAAAAAAAAAAAATACTTCTTTGAGATGGGAAATCCGCTTACTCTAGTTTTCCGGCGCGGACATTGGACACAAAAGGACCACAGGCTTCAGAAGTAGCAAAACAGAACAAACGAAAACCCTGCATCATCATTCTGGAATAAAAATTTAGTTATGCATCAGTAGTGTGATGTATTTCCAATAACTACTGATCTCCCAAAGAAGTTATATTCAAACTAGGGATACTAGTGTACAAAAATAATCCATCTCAATTACGCCTTACTTTCGGAAAGCGATGTGTAACTTGGAAATTACATTCCTTAAGAGCTAGCTGGTCCATTTAAATTTGCCAAGAATAAGGGTATTCAAACAGGAAGTCCATAGCCAGAGCAAAATACCTATCAGCCATTATGTTTCACTTGACAAAAACCGAACCACTAGAAAAAAACATAACGCAGTGTGCGAACTTGTTTGCCCCAAGAATGTTTTGAAGTGCCGCTACTTTCCACGTACGCGGTGTTGCGGATTCAAACAAACTTACCAAAGTGCTTCTTAACAAAAAATACCTTTAAACGTTTATTTCCTACGCAGACTCACTTTACACCGAGGACGTGAGTTAGAAAGAATTGCGTCTCGATCATTCAATTTCTACCAACTTTCACGAATAACCCCACACATTGTTTTATCGTTGTCTTACTACACAGCGCCTAGTTGTCTTTTTTTTTTTCTTTTTCCACATTGCGTACCTAATGTGCGGTGCCAGCTTGCTTTACCATTATTTTTTGTGTTAAGATGTTTTCATTTGTTATTGCTTATTAGTTATAATTTACGTTACGCAACACTGCATGATTTTAGTTGCCTTGGCTTCTCATAAGTGGCTAGGAAGTCAAGTAAGTAGTAAAACAAATTAATTGTTTTCGCACTGTAATTTGTTTGTTCATTATTTGTTCGTCCAAGGTGAAGTAAACGGTGTTCTACATTTCTCACGTTCTCGTCTTTTTTACTTACTTTAATAATAGCACTATGAGACCTGAGTTCCGAGTATGATACGAGTAAATTGTATTATTTTGCAACACCACCAACATTTTAGTGTTTTTTTATCACATTACTTCAAAACAAAAGAGATCTATTCGTGTCAGTAGGAGGCGTAAAAGCCTCTGAGGCTCAGGCTTTTAGTGATATACACTTGTGTTAGTAAGCACTGAAGCAATATAGCGGATGTGACTTTTAATAAATGTGGGCGACTTTATTCTTGTATGCGCCATATTTCCCGTATTCTGCAAGATGTGGATTTCAAAAAATATTACACGGCCACAGCCTTCCGCAGTTTGGGGGGAATATGCAACGTGTGCTTTACATTACGATGTTATATTCCCGCGATAAACCTTTTTGTGATTTTTCAGGGGGCGGAATTCGAAAAACTTAGGTTCTCGCCGAACTTACGTTGTTTACAGCATCCTGAATACGGCCGCTATAAGTCTCGAGAAGAAATCAGACGCCCTAATCAGAATGGAAATATTTTGATCTGTTCTTTTCATCCTGGCAATGAAAGAAACTCGATGTTTCTGGGGCATGTGCTGTGTCCATTTGTGGGCGCTGTTGGTTTCACAGTAGATCAGTGGTGCGTCTAATGTCGTCGCCCTGTCATAGTATGGGAGCTTTTAAAGTTCCCACGGTTTCGTAGAAGGGTAATGAGGCAGACGTCCAGTGTATTTTCGCCTGCCAGAGGATATCGCTCTAACGTGACAATTTCATCAAAAAATATATAATTTTAATGAATTGTTCTTATTTTGTTTCTTTATTAATACTGTTAACCTCTTTCGAGGTTGTTACAGGAGTGGATGAAACATAATATCACACAGTTTGCACTTGCTGCAATAACTTGGAACAAAAATCTAAGAAGTTAGTAGTATTTACGACATCAGGTGGCAAACTATTCCAATCAATAATTGTTCGAGGAAAGAAGGAGTATTTAAATGCGTCATTTTTATAACTATATGGCTTTATTGTTCTGCTGTGAAAACGCCTAGTAGACCTGGGGCAAAAAAATGTAATGTAATCATCTTTGTCTTTTCCAAGCTCGTCGTTAACGATAAGGTAGAGGAATTTTAGACGATTCATTGTCCTTCTTTCCTGTAGGGTTTCCAGGCCCGCCTCAGCACAAAGTTTTGTGGGCGACACATAAGAGGAATACATATTGTACACAAAACGCACCGCATTCACAGTTAGCTTGCTCTTATAAAATTATTAACCCAAGTAGGGTACGTTGCGTTCTGGTGAAAGATCGAAATACCCTTCCGTAATGCGTCAATGATACTGAACCGCTGAACCGTGTATATGTCTGTTGGGAAGTGAGGGGAACGCGACAGAACAGCACACGACAAAACAGCACGCGACAAAACAGCATGGTCAAAACAGCACGCGTCCAAACAGCACAGCGTCAAAACAGCACGGCGACAAAACAGCACGCGTCAAAATAGCACGCGACAAAACAGCACAGCGTCAAAACAGCACGGCGACAAAAGAGCACGCCCCAAAACAGCACGGCGTCAAAACAGCACAGCGACAAAACAGCACGTATGTAGCAACTTCGAGCGCGCTCTTCACCTCTCTCTCTGCGCGAATAATTTTGAACCTCCTTGACCCTTTCATTTTTTGGTGCTAGGTTATAAAGGAGGGAGGCATACTTGAAGAGATTGGGTAGTTAGAGGTTATATATCTTCGCGTCGATGTTGGCCGCGTTGCCTGGTCTTTTTTTGTAGGACCAGCGAAAGCGGAAAAGTTATTGGGAACAAGAAATCCATAAGTTCAAGTTATGAAGCGTCTGGTTTGCGGCGGTCCGGTGAGGTTCCGTAGTACTCGCCGTTTCGTAATTACCACCTAAGCGTAAAACGCCCCCCCCCCCCCGCCCCCCACCCCCACCACCCCCCCCCCCAAAAAAAAAAAAAGAAAAGCGGGAGATGCGTTGATTACAGATGCATTGTTAGAACCGGTAAGATAAGGTGACTTTAATGTCGAGCGTATTCAAGGTGTACCATTGGCACCGATTCTGTGTGGTTCATTCGCTGTGAATAAACTGTCCGGGAAACACGCGGCTGCAGCTTGCAGTCGAGAAGTCGTTTTAAATTAAATTTACAGATTATTTCCGACGAAGGCCTCGATCGAGTGAAAACCGGTATAGCAGAAACATGCCACAGCCTCAATACTGCTGCCGTACAGCATGGGCTGAACACACTGTTGCCGCACACGCTTTCTGTTGTTGTTGTTTTTTAACAACTAACGACAACACTAACCCGTCCAATTAATTCGTTATTATTATTTTTTTTTTTTTTGTAGACGACATTGCCAGCAAACTTGCGCGTCAAAATTAGCAGAACTGCTCGAAAAATAGCCAGAATACGCACAAGTAAAGGCTTCGGTACTGTCCAGGGAGCCTTCATGTGCCCACCGAGTATACTCCCCACCCCGAACTTGGTCCCAAGAAAACGGATTTGACGAATTGGCCGTCGACGAGTTGGCTTTCGACGAATTGGCCTTGACCCTCCATTATTTTACAGTGCCTACTTTGAGATATGCATTATTTTTGACCTACATACGCTATATTTAGGGTTCAGCATTTTCGGCTTAAACCGAATAAAACCGGTAAAAGTACGCCGAATTATTTTTTATCAAATTCGGTTTTAATAGAAAAAGGTCAGTATTTTCGAGGAAGTTCGGAGAGGCAGAGAGGCATTACTGACCGTATGTCACTTCCTTTCGCAGTTTTCAGCTTGTCTCCGAGATCGGTTCAATGTTTAACAAAAGCTCCGGGGGCCCAGGGGTCTTCAGAACGAAATCTGGGTCCTTCACCTGATAGGGAGTTGTGTTGCGAATTCTTTGTTGAAAGAAGAAATTTTCATCGTGAACTGAACAATGAAAATCAAGAACGTCCATAAATGCCCCACATTTTTAACAGCTCTATAGCTTCCGTCTACTAGAGGAGGGCAGGCATACGATTGCTTTATTGTCGTTTCTGTGGTCGGCGCGAATTTACCACCCTTTCTAGTCGCGAAAATGGGGAAAAAACGCACTAAGTACAATGCTTGCAAATTTCTGGATCTTGAAATTTGGCTCTCCGACCGAAATGGTAGTGAAGCTCATGTTCGTCCAGTGTACGTACAAACGAAAGCACACGACGATAATATCAGATCACGATAGGGTCCCAGTGCGCCTTGCAAAACAGGTCACGTCGGCTGCCACAGACAGAAATAATTAAGAAAATCAATACCTGGTTTATTCACTATACATTTCAAACAAACGCTTTTAAAGACTGCATTTTCGGCAGTATACTGGTTTCCGTCAATAAACCGAAAAGAACCGAGGAGTTTATGAGTCTACAAATATACACAGCAATAAACCGAAAATTTGTTTCGAATAAAAACCGAAAAAAATAAGCCGAATTTAGAAATAATAAAAACTGAAAATGCCAAACCCTAGCTATATTGTCAATGTCCTGTTTTAAGACCGTGCTGTTTTGAGACCGTGCTGTTTTGACGCTGTGCTGTTTTGACGTTGTGCTGTTTTGGCAAGTGCTCTTCTGTCGCTGTGCCGTTTTGACGTTGTGCTGTTTTGTCGCATGCTATTTTGACGCGTGCTGTTTTGTCGCTGTGCTGTTTTGACGCTGTGCTGTTTTGACGCGTGCTGTTTTGACCGTGCTGTTTTGTCGCGTGCTGTTTTGTCGTGTGCTGTTCTGTCATGGTGCCATGTCTGTTCATTGGATATCGTATGCGACTGCCCATTACCTGATTTATGTCGAACATATTTTCAAGGTTTCCCGATGGGCTGCCGCACTGCTGCTTGGTGTGGAAGTCCTCGGGGCTGTAAGGAACGGCCTCGTAGTGACCTTCAGCGTCGTAGCTGCTGCCCGCTGTTCCGTTCGCGCTCCCCGAGGCTGCCGTCATGTGGTTGATCACGGTGTCCACATAGATCCTGCACAAAGCATAGAACGCATTAAAGAAACAATTAAATAATAACATTTTTTTTTTAATGAGACTGGTTAAATTACGTGTACCAGAAAAGCGAACATTTGGAAATAATAAAAAAAAATATTTTACTCAATACTCTTGTCGCGAGAGTTATTTTTAGTGCGATGAGATGTCGAAAGGCGATTCTTTTTCGAGAGAGAGAGAGAGATTTTGGGGGTTTATGGCGCAATAGCTACAAGGCCATCTGCGCCAAACTAATAGAAGGTTTGTACTATAAAACAGGTTATACAAAACGGGTAACCAAAAAGCTATAATCGGTGTAAAAGGCCAATACAACCAAGAAATTCTATTACTCGTTCAAAAGAGACCAGAGGCTTCTCTCCCAGAAGGAGAGCAGAATGAAATGGGATATGATGTTGAAAAAATTCAGGGAAATGAATCCGGCGTTTGGGCTCAAGACCAGGGCACAACCACAAGATATGCAAAACAGTGAGCCTATCACCACACTGATCGCAGACTGGTGGATCTTCTCCCGAAAGCAGATGCCTATGGGTTACAAAAGAGTGTCCGATTCTCAGACGGCACAACAACGTTTCATGAAGTCGGCTCTTGCATGAAGAGCTTTCCCAAACTCCCAAAGCCGGTTTGGTAACATGAAGCTTGTTACTGCACTCCATGACCCATTCCAATTGCCAAGAATGAAGAATCGAGGACTTCACCAAGGGCCTAATATCTTGATAGGGTAAACAGGACGGAGATTGTGGAAGGTTACCGGCAGACCCTGCAAGCTTGTCGGCTTCTTCATTGCCTTGTATGCCAATGTGACTGGGTAGCCAACAAAATTTTATATTTTGACCTCCATGCAAAGCAGTGTTAAGTTTATATCGAATCTGTTGTACAAGCATATTTTTAGTATTTTTAGGAGAGCAAACTGCAAGAATCACACTTTGAGAGTCAACAAACAGGACCGCCCTCAGTATTTTCCTATTGATAATGCATTCGATCGCCATTGATACCGCATAGAGTTCCGCCGTAAAAATGCTGGCGACACAATCGAGTCGTTGAACCTTGGAGAAGCGTTCTGAATACACAGCGCAACCGACAAAAGAAGAAGTCTTTTCACCATCTGTATAAACATGAAGATAACCATCATCCTTAGTTTGCAGTTCACCAAACTCTTGCATAATTACAGCATGGGAAGTGCCGTGCTTGTTGAACTTCGCAAGAGACCAGTCAGGTTCAACTCGCTGTGCTTTCCAAGGTGGAATACCGTTGACTTTCCTAACGAGGCCGACCTGGCCCAGAGGAAGGTGCAGAGAAGTGCGAAGACGTTCAATACGGAAGCTTAACGGAGTCACAATGCTCGGTTTATTTTCAAAAAGGCGAAAGAACCTTGACCTTGTAAGTGAAGAGTATGTCGGATGCTGGGGGTCGGCCAGAATCTTATAAGCATATGTTAGACTAAGATATGTACGTCGTTTGTTCAGGAACAGCTCATTGGATTCTGCATACAAACTAAGGACGGGCGACGTCCGGAAGGCTCCTGTTGCCAGTCGCAAGCCGAGATGGTGAACTGGGTTCAACATTTTAAGGGCAGAAGGCCGAGCCGATCCATACACTACTGCACCGTAGTCAAGACGGGATCGTACAAGGGCGTTGTATAACTGCAGGATACATTTTCTATCAGACCCCCAAGACTTGTGAGATAAAACTTTCAAAAGGTCTGTGGACTGAAGGCATTTTTGCTTCAGAGCTTTAAGGTGGGAAATAAAGTTAAGCTTTTTATCAAAGATTACACCAAGAAATCGGTGCTCCTTTCTAACTGGAATAGGTGTCCCATTTAATTTCAGGGAGGGATCCAAAGACAGCCCACGTCGCAAAGAAAAAGGAACACAGACCGTTTTTGAAGCAGAGAACTTGAACCCATTTTCGTCGGCCCACTTGGACAATTTGTTTATGGCTAACTGCAACTGGCGCCCACAACTAGAAAGGTCACAGGACGATGATGAAATCTGTATATCATCAGCATAAAGAGAATACGAAATAGATGGTGGCAGCAGTCGTGCGAGTGAATTCATTGTTAGCAAAAACAAAGTCACACTTAAAACACCCCCTTGAGGGACTCCATTTTCTTGAACAAAGGAATCAGATAGGGCTGAGCCGAGACGAACTTGGAAAGTCCTGTCTGTCAGATGTTCCTTTATGCTTCGCAGCATACGGCCCCGGATATTACAGGTATACAGGTTTCGGAGAATCTCATACCTCCACTATGTGTCATATGCCCTTTCTAAGTCGAAAAAACCGTAACACAGTGCTGCCTGTTTACAAATGCCTCACGTATCACAGTCTCCAGGCGAACTAAGTGGTCAAGGGTAGATCGACCTTGGCGAAATCCACATTGATTGTTATCAAAGACCCTCTGGCTTTCTAACATGTAGACCAGTCGCCTGTTTATAAGCCTTTCATATGTTTTCCCAAGGCAGCTTGTGAGTGCAATTGTGCGATAGCTTGATGGTTGTGAGGGGTCTTTGTTAGGCTTTAGGAGGGGGATGATATGTGCGTGTTTCCAAGCCTGAGGGAAACATGCCTTTTTCCACAAAAGATTAAAAAACAGGAGAAGGTTTTCAAGGGATTCTGGAGAAAGGCGGCGCAGCATTTCATAATGAATTCCATCAGGACCAGGGGCAGAGAGCTTTGTAAAATTAAGAGCCATCTCAAGCTCGCATCGCGTAAATGGTTGGTTATACGATGCCGAGTTTCCTCCCGACATGACAAGCTTTTGTCGTTCCGCACGAGCTTTTAACTGTCCGAAGGTAACACTGTAGTTGGCCGAACTAGATGAATTATAAAAATGTTCCCCGAGTATGTTACCAATATCTTTTAGAGACGAAGAAGGAGCATTAAATGTTGGAATGGCAAAGTACCTGTAATCCCCATTTACTTTCCTGTATCTGTCCCAGGCCTCCTTGGCTGGGACAAAGCTGGTTAAAGAAGAGAGATACTTCATCCACGACTTCCGCTTTGCCTGCTTCCTAGTCCAACGAGCCTTGGCTTTTCGTCGCTTGAACTCAACAAGGTTGCTTGAAGTGGGGTATCTGCGAAATCTGCCCCATGCCCTATTTTGGTCCGCCCGGGTTGTGGCACACTCCTTATTCCACCAAGGTTTACATTTTTTGGGTACATTACCAGATGTTTGGGGAATGGACTGCTGAACAGCCTTTAGTATCTGCTCAGTAACATAAAGTGTAGCGTTCTCGGGGGACATAGAAGAAAGAAGCGAAGGATCTGAAGTGGAGTGAAGATTAAAAAGTGCCCAGTCTGCCTTGTCTAACTTCCACCTAGGAACCCGCTTTAAAAGATTAGGCAATGGAACGGTACTTTCTAAAACAACTGGATAATGATCACTTCCAAAAGGGTCATGAAGAACCTTCCATGAGAAGCAAGAAAGTAATGAAGGTGAAGCGATAGAGAGATCAATACAATACAATACAATACAATACATGTGAATGTGAATGAGTTGTGTGCCGCACTAAAAAAAGTTGGTTCTTTCCCGTTAAGAAGACACAGCCCAGAAGACAATAAAAGACGTTCAATCACACCGCCACGGGAGTCCTGACGGGTACTACCCCACATGGGATGATGAACGTTAAAATCACCCAAAATTAAAAGCGGTTGAGGAAGTTGTCCTACAAGTCCCTGCACCTCTTGAATATTCAAAGGAACATTTGGTGGTAAGTATAAAGAAACAAGCGTTACAAGGCGGTCCACGATGAGACGCACTGCAACAGCCTCCAGAGGTGTGCGGAGCGGAACTTGAGAGCAAGCGACTCCACTCTGCACAACTACTGCAACGCCACCAGAAGGAGTGGAAGCGGGACGGTCTTTCCTAAAAACCTGATGGCGCCTTAAAATGTTAAAAGAATTAGAGTGAAGATGGGTTTCTTGCAAGGCAAGAGCGATGGGTCGAAGATCATCCATGAAATGATTGACATCATCAATATTCCTTAAAATACCGCGACAGTTCCATTGCATAAAATGTAACTTCGTCATCTATTAAAAAAGTGTGTAAATATGTAAATATAAGAGATAAAACCTAGCAAAATATATAAAGCTATGGAGAGCCAACTCGAGCTAGGCGGAAGATGTGACCACAATACAGCAGCTATTGGGGTTATCACTTGGGCGCTACTACAGGTTGCTTCTTTTTAGATTTACGAGAAGGTGTTTCCCATTCCATACCATCCTGGTCGGACCCAGGAGTAGACTGACTGTCAGCACCAGTTGGTATGTCCATGTCCTGGGAAGTGTCCGATGGATGGAGTACGACGGAGCTGGTTCGGCCTGGCACGCGCGGGGGAAAACCCCGGCCACGACCGGATGGGGGAGTGGCGGATGAGCTGGGCGAGGGGTCACCCAAGCTCGTCTTGACACCTCCTTTCACAGGAGCTGCATGGGTACCATGCTGGTCCTTCGGTAGGGGGACCCTCTCCACCGAGTAGGAGCGAGAAGCTCGCTCCTCCCTAGGAGGGGACCTAGGAGAGGGGGAAGGCGCGGCTGCTGCCGGCCTGTCCTTGGATGGAAGGGCAGCACGTGTGCTACCACCAGGGACTGGGGGAAGCTGCTGCTGCCTCTGTTGGGAAGCTGGGGCCCCGCGGTCGGCCGCCAAGATCTCGGGAGAGACCTGGGTGGCCCTCGACTCCGAGCGTGGTGCTGGGCCCCTGCGCACCACGTCGGCAAAACTCCCCTTTGACACAAAGGAGAATCGCTTCTTTGCTTCTGAATACGATAGGTTCTCCTTCACTTTAATGGTAAGGGCGTCTTTTTCTTCTTTAAACGAGAGACAGGTACGATAGTAAGCGGGGTGTGGTCCACCGCAATTAACACAGTGGGCCACAGCCTCCTCACAAATGTCATAAACATGGCCCTGACTGCCACACTTTGCACATGTCTCCTTTCCTCGGCATCTGCGTGCTCCGTGACCAAAACGTTGGCAACGGAAGCACCGCTGGGGGTTGGGGACGTAAGGGCGAATGCGGCAGTTCAGATATCCTGCCTTGACGGTCTCAGGGAGTGTGTGCTTTTCAAAGGTCAGAATAACATGTTTGGAAGGAACCTGTTCACCATTTTTCCAAAACATGGTGCGTTTAACAGCAACAACGCCGGAACTTTTGAGTCCCTCCAGGAGTTCTTCTTCACTTGTGTCCAAAAAGTCGTCCTCAGAGAGGACTCCACGAATGGTGTTAAGTGTGCGATGAGGACCCACCGATAGCTTTACGTCAACAATGGTGGTCAGGTTGAGGAGTGCTTCGCTTTGTTTTTTTGTGTTTACTTCCACAAGGAGGTCTCCAGAGTACAGTTTTTTTGCCTTGTAGGAAAACCCTACAAGGTGCTCTAGAACTTTGGCTACAATGAAAGGTGACATCTTTGCAACTGACTTCTGTTCATCAAGAGAGTGAACAACAAAAAACTTTGTGAAGGATTCTATCTCAGCATCTTTGTCAATGGTTTTGTGTTCAAGACAACGCCTTTTAAGGGCGTGCCCTGAACGGGGTTTAGAGGGGTGGGGTGCCATAGGAGGGCAAAGAGTGTTCAGAATCCGCGGTGCACCGCCCACCACCGAGCCCAACAAGGGGTTAGGTAACGCACCATAACAAGAAGGGCTTGGCTGGAGACGTTACGCTAACAGTGCTGCCGGGAAACTATACCCAAGTGTGGGTCAAGACAGACGTCCATCACCACCCATGGTTAGCCCTTGCCGCCAAAGAGGGGTGAAAAGGAGTAAGGTAAGTGAGAGAGAAGTAAAAGAACCAGGAAAGGTAAAAGTGAAAGATCGGAGGGGATAGTAGAAGAAAGGGCGACTAGACTGAATTATCCTGGCCGGGCCTTACCAGGACTCCCGTCTATAAGAAGCGGGGGCCAAAGTGGTGTATTGCCTCACCCGGGGGGCCCCGAAAGGTCCAAACCTGCCCCGGGCTCGGCTCAACCACCAGGATGCCCTTTTCCCCAGACACGGGAAAGCCACGTATAGCCAGACGTGGGCGGGCGAACCCGCATGGCTCGGGGTCCGTGGAGACGCCACTCTCCAAACACCTGCTTTCACAGGTGCCCCCTGTGGGGTCTTTTTCGAGACGTCGCCCCCTGGTCAACGTCTTTTACCTTTGGTACGCCTTTGTTTTATGCTGTTCTCTCGTTTCATTTCATAATAGAAGCATGTTTTTTAATCTCTCTAACGTTTCTTGTGGCATAAATCTTGCGCTAATTATTCTCCGCAACAAAAACAAAAAAAAAAGGATTTTGTTTGTTTGTTACCTTTGTGTCCTATTTATTTACTTCATTAATACTGGAGAGTATTGTCTTTTTGAAGGAAGCGAACGCGGCGACTATCCTGAACATCCATAGTTTCGTTAACGGGGCCGAAGACCAGTAAGCCTGCGTCTTTAAAACACTTAAATATTCCTGAATTGGTGGGTTTTTTGTGTCTGTTTTACAAATACAAATAAGTATGTGTACAATCTGGTCTCACATTGGTTTCGTTAACACTTTCTGTCCTTCTTACTAAGATTGATTTTTCGAATAACAAAAAGTTTATTGAAATGCCGCCCTTGCTTTCAAACTTGCATCTGTCTTTAGTTTTGCTGGAGTTAGATCTTTGTCTGTTCTGTGGAATGAATTGAATGCCACTCATTAATTAATTTGAAGTTGCCAAACACGTTTTCCCGCAAAGCCTTTGACTTTTACTTTGGACAGCAACTTCGTTATCATTTTAAAAACTTGCTTTATTTTCGTTTATTTTTAAGCTCATCAGAACGTAAGTCAATGAGACCATATTGTCTCATTGACTTAATCTGCTTTTTTGTATCTGTTGTCATTCTGATATTAAAAAAGGTTTTTTTCCTACATTTGTAAACATTAGATTCCGGGGCGTCTTTCCAAATTCATTATCTTTAAATATTTCCCCCCGCAATATACGCTCATTTATTGAACTTTTAATATTATTTATGCCTTCTTTGTATGGTATACTTCTTTCTACTTTTCCATTCATATTTTTTCTCCGTTTTTGTGTGTGCACTTATTACACTAAATACAGCGAACTTTTAAATAAGATTCGTATGTTATTGATTTTGTTGGTGCACCAAAAAGAAGGTCTGTTGTATGCTGGCTTCAACAAATTTAAAATAAATAAATTACCTATTTGCACACCTGGCAAAAAAAAAGTTCCCGATGTCATGAAGATGGATAAAGCAACATAAAAAAATATAAACAAATATTGCTCGCGTGCAGATTTTATTATGCTATGAATATGAAAGTTTATATTTTTTTATTGTGACGTGATGGCACATACTTTCACGTGTAGTTCTATTAATATTTCGATTTTAAATTTTTTTTTTTGTAAAACACATTTTAGGTTGATGAAACTATCAAAATATGTAAATCCTACAGGGGCATCCCACAAGTTCTTGGCCAGAACCCAGAAGGGTGATAGAGGTGAATGAACTTGTGTTACGTTTTGGCGTATCATTTTTTGAGGTCCACACACAAACACACACACTTCACTTCACCGAAAAAGGAACACTTCACCGAAAAAAGGAACACTAGAAAGTTTCTGTTTCAGCTAGGGGAAGAGATGGAAATCTGATGGGGCGATATCTGGCGAGTACGGTGGATGATACAGCACATATAATCTTCAGGAGTGCATGGAAGCCGTCTCCACAGCAGCGCGGTTGTAGGGGCGCAGTGTCTTGATGGAAGAGCAGGTAATGAATCAGGGTTACGCAGTTGTTCCCCGTGACGATTTGACACTTTTGAAGCTAATCGCTAAGCAGCACGCCTTCCGAAGTCCAGAAAACCATTGCCATCCTCTTGGCTTTTGACGGAACAGACCGAGCCTTTTTCGGCGGTGGAGAGGAGTGGTGTTTCCACTATTTAGATTGGACTTTGCTACCGGGTTAAAGGTGGCGGACTCAAGTTTTGTCCACAATCAAAAATTAGGCATGAAATCCCGCGGGATCTGACCTGAGCAGCTCGAGACTGTCCCTGGATGTGGTGTAGCGGGTGCCGGAGTTATGCTTTTCCGAGACAAATACTCAATCACTAAACGTGTCTTCACTTTCTCCCTTTTAGCTCGACCGCGTGGAATTCTAGCTGTTGGCGGCAGCCCGAGAAAAACTGTATTGTGGAATGAGCCATCTATGATGTCGCGAATTCTAGGAAGTGCCCATGTGCTATAATAACCTTTCCTGTCTGTGCTCGCACTCGATTTGTGTCAGGCCCGATAACGTTTGGGACGCTCCTGTGGAAAGGATCCACGATATGCATACTTTGCCCTTGGCTGCCTAAAGCTAAGAGTAATTTCCGTTGTCTTTGCCAGCTGTGCATTTGTACTACCACGTGACCAATTTGTAGTGCAGAAGTAACAGCTCCTACTGCTCTGCATAACAATCAAAAGTTTTGGCCGGCACAGATGCGAACTGCAGAAACCTGTTTTGTATCAAGGACTGCAGGTTGTATTTTTGTTTAGTTGCGCATCAACTCCAATGCATTTGTGCTCCGAAACGCTGATTTCATAGCACTAATACATGGTGTTACTGGACGACACAATCATGGCTTAGGACAAGCAGAGACACATCTTTCTCATATTTTGTACCGTGTACGGTTAAGCATAATGTGTTTCAACTTTGTTTTATTATAGTATAATTTTACCAAAACTTTCACCTCACTTTTCAAATCCGGCGTCAATTTGAAAGTTTTCCATTAAGCATATTTTCTGAAAGAGTCCAAGAAACTGAGCCTGTGAGTAGCAAGTATATTTCCCCACCACGTTTTACATAATTTTTAATCGTAGAAAGCCATAATACCACAACCGAAACTAACCTGCAAATTTACTGGCCCGCCATCTTGTTGGGACGTCAAATGTTGTATAAACGTCACCACTTGGGCAGCTTGAGCCTGTTTCGCCCAGCGTCAGAAGCAGCCAAAAGGGCGTCGCGATCGTCCGTGGGAAATAATGGACTACGACTCATCAGGCCTGTCTGGGTGAAGCAATGACCAGCAAACGTTATATCTGCCGACAGGGGGCAAACGTTCTCTGATGAAAAATGGGTCAAAATTGGGTGCCGTGAGGGGGTCAGACGCAAAACCATGTAGCGTCGGTGGAGCGCTGAGAGATCACGTACTTTAAGTACGACCGGAGAGACGCGGTTTGTTTTTGTTGCTTTTATTCGTTTTGCGGAGAGAGCGTGCTGTTTTGTTAGCATTCGGAGGTAAGGCGGCAGTCGACCAAGAGATCTCGAAAGCTCAACCCGTTTGTTCCGTGGGCTCCGGATGGTTAAGGCATCGCGGCGGAGAGGACGACCCGTCTGGGCACCGACCGTTTCCAAATTCCGTGTTCCAGCCCGCGCGGCTCTGTTCTGCCACACTGTGTCAGTGCGACCGCCGCCCGCGAAGATTGGCAACCACACCGAACCGAAGCGCGGTTTTATTTCAGGAAGCGAAACAGCATTTTTAGCCACTTAGCATTTGATTGACCCCGGCCACCAGTAAGTTTGGCTGCGCTCAAAGCTTAGCGGAAACAAAGTATATGCGTAACCTTTATTGGAGGTAGCATTCGGTTTGGGGGCTGTAAATTAGAAACCTCTGAACTACAAAAATATTTCAAAGTGTGTTTTGCGTTTTAGATAAAAAATAGTAATGTATTCACTTATTTTTGCTGGCTTTTATGCGGACACAGGATCAAAGGTTGCAATGCATAATGAAGATTTGCTCTGCCTGACGAGGCTGTTACCCGTTTACACTGCTCAGCGTGCAGCAGTAATCAATCTCATAGGGTATACAGTTTCTAAGCCGGGAAAACGTACCTGACCCCAGCCCTGTTGCAACGCCGTACCATGTCTTGGAACTCTCTTTCATCGCCTATACGGTTCTGCAATTTATAGCTGACTGGCTGGTAGCCCTCGTACCAGGGTCTTTTCACCTCGTCCCCGAAGAGGATGACGTGCTCGTGGACTGGAGACGTCTGCACGAAGTAAAGATAATGGGGTCACCAGGAATGTTTATATCAACATCCAACTCAACTTGGAATAAGAAGAAATTAGTAAAAAAATTATAATGCAAACTGGAAAGCGTGCGCCCTTTCAAGATATAATAAATGTTTATCTTGCAAAAACGGCCATGCACCCGCAACGCTGGCACTAAGGCGAAGCCTTCATCGCGTGGTCAATTGTGCGGTCACATCGCCTGGCGGTTCTTCCTCTTAGCCGATTACAGTTTCTGATTTTTCTTATTGATAATTCTATACCAAATCACCGAATGTCCATACGTGCCCCATGCTTGTAGATAACACACCGTAGTCATTACATCATTTCATTTTGTTCTCTCTTGTATTACAGTCTTGGTCCCATTGGCCTTTATGTTTCTTAAACATTCACCACGATATATATCTTAAAAATCAACATTTCTCTTTATTCTAACAAAAGTTTCGCACTCCTGATCATCATAGTTGAAAATCTTAGAGATATTTTCTAGTGAAATCAGAAATTGTATGTGTCGTATGCGAGTTCTAATACCATCCTTTATGTATTTTCGTGTTTATTGGCCTCATTTATACCATTTGTTTTGTGTTAGTAAAAGTATATTAAAAACATTACGATGTACATTTCTAAACCATACGAGAATTAAGTGTTCAAAGCGTGTTTCCGGAAGTATTAGTGCTGGAATTTAAGCATGGGCCCCCAAAAACGAACTTCGTTATTTTACTGAAAAAAAAAAATGCAGACATGTACAAATTACTCAAAAAAGGTAGTTAAGTTAATGAGTATCGACGCGAAAAGTAATTGGAGTAGAGTAGAAATTACGCGTTTGTAATAGTAATTGAGTAAACTACTAACTACTCTAAAAAGTAGCGAGTTACTTTGAAGTTACTTTCGAAGTTACCTTTTTATATTTTTGTGGAAGCAAAAATGAACAGCAGTTTTGATCAATGAAAAACCCTGCGAGCCTCAAATTAATGCAGTCTATTTATAGCTTGCGTTTTCGCCAAGATAGTTTATTCGCTGGCGGAAGCAATTGACTTTCAAAGTTCTTGATAGGAAAATTTTCCCCTTTTCCTTCTAAAGACGTCCCCAGCCAAGCTAAATAGATGTTCCACCGTGGCACTGAATAGAACGGCAGTGTTGAATTTGAGAAGCAGGCTGTGCAGGGTCGGGTAAGCGAGTGTCGACATCTTATGTGTCCATGACGAAACATGTGAGGTTTGTCTCGGCTAGAGGGTCTTTTATAAGAAAATCTCCGACTTGTTTCTTCGTCAAGTTGAGATTGTTATGACTGGTCCCTCTTTATTACGACGTCGTTCTGAGAGTACGCTGAGAGAGTGCACCAGACCGTCAAGGGTTCAAGTCTCGCGCCACGACGATGAGATCATCCGGACGACTGCGCGTTCCGTTGTAGTGCTAGTGCTACGCTACTGAAAAAAAAATGTTTTGGTTTAACAGAAGATGGAACCGAAGTATACTTCGCCGCTGACGCCGGTCCAACAAAAGGATCTCCCAAGGGTAACTCGCAATCCTCGCCGGCGACATACAATGTTCTGACGCGCCTGACACGCCTGACAAGTGAATCGTTTTTAACGAAGAGGAAGTCTCCCAGGCATGGGTGGTCGGAAGGACGCGAAGGATTACGTCAACAAGCATCGTCGCTCATATACAGTTGCAGCTGGAAGCGGGAACGTGGTCCCATGAACGGATTATCCGTGCCAGGGTTTGTGCGCGGGGGAGTCCGGCTTTGCAAAAGCGTATGTGCTGACGACAAGGCGACCATGGGAACAGGCGCCCAGCTGCGAGGTCATTCCAGTGGCGCCTCCCGTGGAACCTACCGCTTGAGTCAGAACTCACTAAAGACAAAAAACAATTCTCGGAGTGTCCCCGTATTTCATGGTTGCAGCTGGAAACGCGGTGCCTGCGTGCATTACCGGATTAGGTCAATACCCGACCAAGGCTTGTTAAGCATCTCTTCCTGCGTTCGTGCGTGCCGGTGTTATGTTTTGGCTGCTCGTCGCCACCTTGACCCAAGGACGCCTTCCCGAACAAGGGGGCCCTTGTTAGGGAATGCCACTTCATCTGCCGGCGTCTTATTCATTTCTGCGCTTAAACTTTCGTGATGGGCAAAATTAGCACTATATAATTTCGAAAGTAGTTAGTAATTTGAGTAGAAGTTACCTGAAAAAGTAGTTAAATTAAACTACTAATTACCCAAATCAAGTTGTAATTGAAAGTTACCAAGTTACTCGAAAAAGTAGTTAAACTACAGTATTTTGAGTAGAGTAATTGAACTACGTCCAAGTCTGCTTGAATGAAAGACGTTTACAACACCCTGTAACGCCGCATTGGAGCGCAGCTCTTGAAGAGGTGGGGAGAAGGAGGGTATATCCCTCCTCCCTCCTCCTCACCTCCTCATCCTCCCTGCTAATCCTCCTCCCCCTCTTCCTCCTCCTCCTTCACCTCCTCCTCCCCTCCTCTCCTCCTCCTTCCTCCTCCTCCTTTCTCCTCCTTCTCCCCCTCCTCCCCTCCTCCTGCTTCCTCCCCCCTCCTGCCCCTCTTCCTCCTCCCCTCCCCCTCGTCCTCCTCCTCCTCTCCATCCTCCTCCCCTCCCCTTCGTCCTCCTCTCCCTTCTCCTCCTCCCCGCGCGGTGCATTATGGGACATTTCCTATGATGCACCGCGCGGTTACGCCGACGGCGACGCCGTTCATGCCGGAAACGGGCGCCTAAGAGCTGCGCTCTAAAATAAAGTACGCCCGCCAGTGCTCAGTCTCCACCCAAATGTAGCGCTGGCAATCTGTGCCAGATGCAAAAGTTTCCGAATAAACTGTTATCTCAGTAAAAGGTATAAGTGATTTTCAGGAACTTTCAATGGGAAAATATGGTCCGCTCTTGGTAGTTTGCGACATTCAACCTCACGTATTCGTGGGCTTTTCTGCCATTGAAAATATATGTAAATATCTTAAAACGCTTGTATAAAATAAGAGTTCGCTCTAAAACTTTACAAATTGAATCGGACCGCTAGCACTACAATTGTACAGAAGCTGAGCTTTCAAAGATGCGTAGTTTATATTTTGCATTTGAAAACGTCCTGTACAGTAATACACAGTAATATACACAAACGCATATACGAAATAGAGAAGTCCACAGTTATTTACCATCGTTTCCTCGTGTCGCGAAATTCCTATATATTTTATATTTGCATGGAAATAAATAGATCACATTCGGATATCACTCAAATATCAGCGGTGCTTCTTCAACTGAAATTCAAGCTGCAATGGAAGTAAATAACAAGCGCATTTTGGTTTAATCGCCTCGATACAGCACTTAGTTCTGTTGAAGCATAATCTGATTCTGGTTTCAGATACATAACACCAATGAAACAGTCTTCATACAATGAGGCAAGGGCTTTTCTAACCTAAAATAGAGACAAAACCAGGGTTACCTGAACGCCACCGTAGCCGTGTGGACCCAGGAACTCTTCGCACTCTTCAGCGATGTCCTTATATCGCCATTGAAACAGTTGTACTATCACGTCTCGGCCTTCAAAGGTGTGAGGATCCTTGTTGGAGGAACGACTCGCAGATCCTATGACCAGCACGAAGATCATCGCATAGGCAGCTTTAAGCAGTCCCCGGCGGGCCATTGTAAACGGAAGGCAGAATGTAGTTTTGTCACGGCGTCAGCCAGTTTCCAATTGCCTGCACGCAAGACAAATAAGACATATAAGACTTCCCCCCTCCTCCCTCCTTTTCCCATGAGGGCACCGTCGACACTCGGGCCTGCGTGTAACGGCGACGTGTCGATTGACACACAGCAGACCCCATTTTAAGTAGTGTACGCGTAGCTGGGAGCAGGGCCACAAGGCCACGCTCCCCTCACCCACCACCCTCTCTGTCAACCTCCCGGACGCCCCCGTCGAGCTTCAGGAAGCGAAGTCGAGCCAGTAAACGTTTTATTAAAAGTCGAAAGCCTGTCTTGTCTGTTTGCCTTCAATGCCCCTCTTTCCTTATCGTAAATTAATAACCAACACGCTCAACCATCTACACGTACAATGATGTTCAAATACGAGGAGTGGGAAATTTCAATGTGTTCGTTGCAGTCATTTAGACGCTCATTTCTTTAATAAATGTTTTCAATTAGTCACACGACCGTTGTTACGGTGCACATATAAGGTGCTTCCATAAAACTGATTTTTTTCTTTCTTGTAAGCCGGGTTTCGCCACGTTATGAACAGTGACAGCCACTTTCGCTAAGTGTTTACAAGAGGACAGTTATTTTTTTGCGCTGTTCTTAGTTCTGGTGAAGCGCTAAAGCATGTCGAGTTACTCAATCAACGACAGAACTCGCAAGTATGATTAGGAACGTATTTTAGTTCTATAAATTCAAGTTTATTCTAATTGCTTCCCTTTCGGAGTCGCCCGGGTGACATCTATTGGGGCCTTTAGCGCCGCCGACGGGTCAACTTCTCGATAGCAAGTTTGCAAGTCAGAATGAACACTTGTAGGTACAAAAAATGAGTACCAGGTTATGCTCACTTGTGGCGCTGACTACTCCGGCAGACGTAGCGCTCTGGCTTTTACATTAAATTTCTTATCTTCTGAACATAAGCGTCGCAACCGTAGCATTTGGCGCTATGGTATACCAAATTTTTCGTTTTATATTGGATGACAGCTTTTATAATGCAGAAATTGACGTCTATCTGTAGGTTTTCGATATAAAGTTGTTTTGAAGCCATTTTTTTTGTAAGTCTTATCTTAATATCTAGAAACTCTATTTCTCTGTCGGAGTCTTTGTATGTAAATTTAATATGTGAATTAAAATTGTTTGTAAAATGAATAAATTCACAAAGTTTAGCTTAGCTTCCCCTTTATTCCGAACTATAAATATGTCATCGAGAAAACATTAATAAAAAAAGGGGATTATGCAGAAAGGAGTTAAGGAGCCGATCCTCTAAAGACATCGTATAGATATTTCCATAGGACGGAGAAAAACGTGATCCCATTGCTGCGCCATGTATCTGTAAATAGTGCTCATTCATAAATGTGAAGTTATTAAGTTCCAAAGCTAAGTGCATAAAATTATTTAAGACGCTTTTACTAACAATTAGGTCGTTTTCGTTAACAATATTCAGAACTGCTTGGATACCTTCATCATGCGATATATTAGACTAAAAAGCCACTACGTCCATTGTCACAGGCAACGTTCTATTAGTCCTAAAGTCTGTTTGGATGTCATTAATTAAATTGATGAAATGAGAGGAGTCTGACGCAGGACGGGGCACAGGCTGCAGTACTTTTAATTTTTCGTCAATAATGTCTGAAATGTTCTCTGTAATTGTACCTATTCCAGTGTGATTTTGCTTGTGTGCTTTCATTAACATAAAGAACTGTCCTGGTCTCCGAGTTTCCTGATAGAGATACCTAGATATATTTTTCCCTATGCTATTATTATCTACTAGGGAGGTTCGTTGCTTTTTTATTGTCTCTCGAAACGTTTGAATTGGACCACAATCTAGTTTTCTTTTTTATAGAACTTAGTATCGTTCAGTTGTTTAATTGCTTCCGATGTATAGTCGGCTGTGTTAACTATACATATACCCCCCCTTTTGTCAGCCGGGGCTATTATAATATATCTATTATGTGTGAGGTTTTTAACTATTGTCTGTCTTTATAAGTAAATAATTTTTAAATGGTCTGTTTTTTATAAGCCGAAAGAGTATGTTTTTGGACCGCCTCTATATATTTTCTGAAATTAGCATTTCGTCTATTCAACGCAGGAATCTAAAAGGACTTGTGTTTATATAAAGGCTCTTGATAAGGAGCTCCATTGAAAAAAACCTTAGAGTGCAATTGCTATGAAATTCATTTAATCCTTTGTGCGATTCGAAATCCTCAATATTGTTGCGAGGAGTCGCGCAAAACTTTAATCTATTCTTGAGAACTAACTATTTGGGTTTAAAAAGTACATAGAAAGAATATTTAAATATGTGTAACTTTTCTTTACCCATATCTGTAGAATCTATTGAGTGGCTTGTGTAAGTATGCTGTGTTCTATTAATTAGGCATGAAAAAAAGTTTTTAAATTTTTCTATAAGGGGCGAGAATATATATATATATATATATATATATATATATATATATTCTCGCCCCTTATAGAAAAATTTATATATATATTATAAATTATATAAATTTATAATATATATATATATATATATATATATATATATATATATATATATAATGAAATAACAGTGCAGCCAATGAGGATCCGTGTAGAATACCATACTTGATTTTTACAGCGCTACCTTGATTCTGCTTTACTTTTACTGATTCCGTTTTAGCTGAAAAGAGTCCCTAAAGAATTGAACATCGGACATTACAGGATGTCGCTATAAATTTTGTCTCGAGTAATGACAGTTAAGCTTCAAAACGTTGGCATCTGGTCAGGAACGCTAGAGCTACATTTGAAAGGAGACGAAAAGTTCAGTAATGCCTATTTTTCTGAATAAACACACATTTCGGCAATCTGTTTTTAGTGACACGATGTATATTCTTATGAACCTCCAAATACGTCGATGTTCATTTCTTAGTTACAAACCTTTGCGATGCATGCCCCTTATATATATATATATATATATATATATATATATATATATATATATATATATATATATATATACAACACGGGCACTTCACACCATCGTACGTGGTCTCCGAGGAGGATATAAACGAATATGTGCAGATGAATAAACCGTACTTAATCCAATTAATCAAAGAATCAAAGTTTTCAGGCCGAAAGGTTTTCGAAAGCCGAAAAAACGGCGGAGCCAGGATTTGAACTCTGGGCCTCCCAATGTCCGGTCGGGTGTGCTAACCTCTACACCACTCCACCTTGGCTTTCTGGCGTTTCCTACCTGTCTTATTAATGCACAAGAAACGAAATGTATCCAATCGGAGGTGTTCTGGAAACACACGCTGCCGCGTAGAACGCGGTACGACGCTTAGTGTCACGTGGTACGTGCTCGTTTGTGCTCCAGAAATCCTCCCACTGTTTGTCTCGTCTCGTGTACATGTAGTATTCTTTGTTTATGAGCTTTAGAGACACAATATAATCATCACCTGCGAGAATCAAGAGCCACGTTATTGAGTATACAACACGGGCACTTCACACCATCGTACGTGGTCTCCGAGGAGGATATAAACGAATATGTGCAGATGAATGAACCGTACTTAATCCAATTAATCAAAGAATCAAAGTTTTCAGGAACCCGCCGAAAGCCAAAAAACGGCGGAGCCAGGATTTGTACTCTGGGCCTCCCAATGTCCGGTCGTGTGTGCTAACCTTTGCACCACTCCACCTTGGCTTTCTGGCGTTTCCTACCTGAAAACTTTGATTCTTTGATTAATTGGATTAAGTACGGTTCATTCATCTGCACATATTCGTTTATATCCTCCTCGGAGACGAAGTACGATGGTGTGAAGTGCCCGAGTTGTATACTCAATAACGTGGCTCTTGATTCTCGCAGGTGATGATGATACCGTGTCTCTAAAGCTCATAAACAAAGAATACTTACTACATGTACACGAGGCAAGACAAACAGTGGGAGGATTTCTCGAGCACAAACGAGCACATACCACGTGACACTAAGCGTCGTACCGCGTTCCACGCGGCGGCGTGTGTTTCCAGAACACCTCCGATTGGATACATTTCGTTTCTTGTGCATTAATAAGAAAGGTAGGAAACGCCAGAAAGCCAAGGTGGAGTGGTGTAGAGGTTAGCACGCCCGACTGGACATTGGGAGGCCCAGAGTTCAAATCCTGGCTCCGCCGTTTTTTGGCTTTCGGCGGGTTCCTGAAAACTTTGATTCTTTGATTAATTGGATTAAGTACGGTTCATTCATCTGAACATATTTGTTATATATATATATATACAGATTTAGGTACCGATACGTTTTCTTTCATTCGTGACTCGTTTGTAGGAATTCTCCTTAGACCGGAATATCCAGAAGTTTAGGTTTTCATATCAACCTATTTTCTGCCTATAAATCAATCAAGGCTTTTGAAATGCCTGTTCTTTTAATCGCATGGAGGATGAATAAATATGTTCACAGGATAATTTCATCCTAACGTTCGGTTACATCTAGAGACTACTTACAATATGTTCCTATTTTTCTTTTACCTGTGATCCCTATTCTGGATACTGATTCAGATATTCTTCAGGAATAAAAATATTAAATCAAAAGTCGTGCTGAATCGTGATATCTCCCGTTTCTACTGCGTCAATAATCCTATATTTAACAAATATGACAGTCTTAAGCTACATTGTGACTAATGCAAGAGTGGTTATGAGGTTTCAAACAATATATTTAAATATAACCTATTCCAGAGCTGTAGAATGGCGCAGGTTTGCTTATTCTGTATTGTACTATATATTTTTCATGGTTTGAAAGTGTCACTCTAATATTGTTTGTTTACAATAGTTTTACACCTTTTAATAACATAGGAATAAAATAGCATAATCGCAAGTTGGATAACATGAACTTACCTTTATTAATGTAGGCCCTACGTAAAAAAATTTAACTTCTCGTAGTAGATAGAAAATATAAGTTAAATTATATTGAAAGTAACGCAGTGGGTAGCTGCTTTGAAGTGCGAAACAGAGCCGTTTCGATGCCAGCTGCGCCTAAATAGACTGTTTT